ATTACGATTACGCAAAGCAAAATATTATCAATGAAAATCTTGTAATTACCTAGCAAGATCTGCTCCGCGTTTTGATTCCAATTAAAATATTTATAAGCTAAAATAAAAGACACTTCATACATATCAATACAAATAAAAAAAAGTACCTCTGGTTAGTTATTAACACGTTTTCTTTAGGAAATCTTTAGGAAACCCAACCAAACCAAACAACTACACTCACGTTTTGTCACCTTGGACTCTGTCAAAAAATAAAATAAAAAAAAATCAATTCGCGTCTGTCCTACCAAAAAAAAAAAACCAATAGGATAAATAATTAATGTGTACGCGTCGATCAAAATAAAAAACTTTATTTTAAGATTTAAAAATGTCTTCGGGAGGCAACAAAAGAAGAAGAGAAAATCAAGCCGAAGAAATTTATGGGTAAGTGTTTTAAGGATGGTGGTGGTGGTTATCGCCACTGTCACTCGTCACTCTAGTTAATGTATTAAAAGAAAACAAAAAAATTACTGCTTTGGCTCCCTACTATTCTCCAATTATCAAACACCATGAAAATGTATTATTGGTCAAAACTTCTCTAAGTAATTTAAGAAAAGAAGACTTTCAATAAACTAATATTTTCTGTCAATTTACCTTTATACCTTTTTAGGTCACTTTTTTATCTTTTTTCTTTTTTTCTCTCTTCCCTGTAATACATCAAGCACAGAAGGAAAAAAGAAACAAAAAAAGAAAAAATGCTATAATTATAATATTCTCATCAACGAAAAATATTGGCGGCGAAGAAGGAACGGGAGGAAATGACAAAACAATAATTAAAAAGGTTAGAAAAAATAAAAAAATAGTTAGAATTGCCCAAATATTGTTTAATTTGAATTTCATCCATCACACCATAAACACGAATATAGGTATGAATGAAAGAAGCGATAATAATCAAAAAATAAGTGATGATAAAAACATGACTACATTATTTGACAGTTTTCTTTAACTGGAACTTCTTGTAAATATTGTTTTTTATATTCATCCTCTTTTATTACTTATCATTTTCTTGGGCCTTTCTTAAAAAATATAAACCAACAAAAATGCTGGTGATTGTTATGTTGAAAAAAGGAACAATTAATTGAAGTCAATTACTTTCTCACCTCAATTCTTTTCCAATAGGAGGATAAATTGCTAGAGTGTAATTAATCAAATTTCAAAAAATAAAGATAACAAATATTAATCAGTTTCATCAGCGAAATTTTCGATGACGCAGAACACAAAGAAAAGGACGAAAAAAAACTACCAACAAAAGTAATAAGTTTAAGGGATAAAGTAAATAAGGAGGAAAATAAAAAAAGCAATGATTAATCTAAGTACCATAAGGAAAACATTAATATATTTTAACTACATTATTCGACAATCTTTTGGTGGTATTTCAATTTGAGTTTTTAAATATTCTTCTACTCTACCTTCCTCATAAGAAATATTATAGGAAGAAGTAAGACCATCTAATCTACTGTTTGTATTACTTATTTCATTTCTTAAATAGATATTTTTTTTCTTGTCATTGGCAACACAATCGCTGTGAACACCCCACGAACATCAGATGCTAGTAGCATTTGGATTGTCCTCTGCTTGTTTAGAATAATGAATCCCTAAGACACTCATAAAAGCAAAGTGCTCGCAGTTGTTGCTAGCTAAACAATACTTATAACAACTTCCACTCAATTTTCCCATATTTTTATGAATTGCTTTTGCGAGTTGCTCTCTAATTTTCTCTTTGTTCTTGAAAGGAATAATCGGACAAATACAATATGCAGTTCCAGTTTGACCTGTTTGACTTGATGAATTAGAAGAACTACCACTACTCGAAGAACTAGAAGAGAAAGAAGAATTTCCACCATCATTGTCCATAATGAAATTGCTCCAACTATCAAAAATAGCACCAGTATCATCTTGATAATTGCAAATCTAACCTTTTCCTAAAAACTTCGGTCTCTTGATTTTTATAATATCTAATGGTTTAAGATAATAGTCAGGATAACTTGTGTTTCAAGGCAAAACCATTTCAATTACATAAGAACTATATATTATCGAACTAAAACCAACTCATTCATTTGCTTGATGATGAACCAATAAAATTGGATTTTCATCATTTAATTTGCTTCTTAATCATCCCGCTTCTTGTTGGGCTTTCCAAATCTCTCCATGTTTTTCTCTTTTATAAATTTCTCAACTATTACAATCACGATACTTAGGAAAAACAAATACTTCTTTTTCTCATTTCACCTCTCCTCATTCATTGCCTTTTTCTGGCTCATAAACTACTAAAAACACTCAATAACCATTGTTATGATAATTGATTACAGTGGCTAAATTATTATTCCATCAAGTATTAAATCTAATAACTTCTTGGGGATTAGATTAAGGTTTCTGGTCCAAACTGTTTTCTCAAAGCCCAAACTAGTTTGGGCAATTTGGGCTTATAAAAAAAAAATTTTTGCCCAAAGTATTTGGGCAATTTCGGCTACTAATAGAAGCAGTTTCGACCAGAAACCTTAGATTAGATAAAGAAGTTTTTTGTCTAACAAGAAACCCTAAATCCCTTTGTTCTTTTTGATGAGTTTTACAATATAAATCTGCGGTTCTTGCAAAACAATTTTCAGTTATACATATTTTACAATGTTCTTCACAATAACTACTATTTTCTACTGTCACAACTCCCACATGTCTGATTATGTTTAGTGCAATAGTCATCTAATGTTTTTCTTCAACAAGCTCCATACGTTTAGCATAAGTTTCAGGATAACGACTTAATTTACAAGGGTCACAGTGTTCTTCTCAACTTCATATTATCCGACAACAATATTCAGTTTTACAAAAACTTTTATTATCTTCTAATTTGGTTTTTGATTTTTTTGGAGCTCCATCTGGTCAACCCCCTCTCGGTATCCCTCTTGGCATAATGAAATATTTTATATTAGTAACACTGACAAAAGTGAAATATTACTACCCTTGGACAAATATAGCCTATATTTTTTTAAACTCATCCACGCTCTTTTCTTTAAACAATAAATCAAGTATTTTATTAATGTACTTATATTTATTTTCTTCTAAATAAACCTTGCTGAAATTAATGGTTTGATAAATTAACATTTTCACTTGATTGAAATCCTGAGCAGAGAATAGTTCATAAGTAGCATAAGTTAAGATTGCTTTTTCCAAAGGAGGCAACCGGGAGAATTCTCAACCAGTTTTTAATTTTTTAGCAATTTTTTCTTGGAGGAAATCCTTATTTTTTAAACAATCCTTGAGTCAAAAAAACCTTCTTTGTTCCTTTTCATCCAAATTGTCTACACTTTTATTGTTAAAGAAGTTATCTATAAGATAATAATAATAAAGTAAAAAAATCTTTCTTTTATCAAGGCGAAACATTTTCAGAAAGGGGCAAAACTTTTACAAATGTTCGATTCCCCTTACCTTTATAATAACTTACCATCCCATCATATTTAGCATGAATATATTTTCTTTTACCCAAAAACACACTTTTATCATTTTTGCTTATTTTATATTTAGTTCCATGTTGGCAAATGATAATACTTCCCCCTCTTACAAATTCACCGCCAAATTTTTTCACCCCTAAATTTTTTGGGTTATAGGATTTATGACTACAATTAGTAGATGATTTACCCCCACCTAATTTTTGGGCAAAAAATTGCAAATCCAATGGAAATATTAGCATAGTTAATTAATAGTTTTATAGTCTATCTGATTAAGTTTTCTTATTTATTACGGTTATTATTCTATTTTTTTTGGTAAATAATATGAATATTTTATTTTCTCTATTAGTTTAAAAAATTCATGTTTTGGAGGAGGCAAAGGGATTTGAACCCTTGAATACTTGCGTATTAGTAGTTTTCAAGACTACCACCTTCAACCGCTCGGCCACACCTCCTTTTTTTTTTTTTTTTTTGGTTTAAAATATAAAATGATAAAATGCCAATTGGTAAAAAAAATATTACCATTCCGATTGTTATTTTTTTTCTAGAACTTTTTATTACTTCAATCTTGGTTAGTAATTTTTCAATAATCTCATCTTTTTCTAGAATTTTTGTATTATAATTTTCCTCTGAAGGGAGATTTATTAACTCCCCCCCTTCTCTTTCTTCCATCTTACTTTTGCTTTTTGCTTTTTCTAATTCTTCTTTAACAGCATTAAAATTAATAAAATTTTACTTATTTTCATCAATTATTAACATTAAGTTAAGTTTGGATGGAAGGTCTGTGTTCAGTTCGTTATGAAAAAACTTGTCAATCTTGACTAAAGAAATACAAATAAGGAAATTGTTTGCATAAAAAACTATGAACCTTTCTTATATATATGTATATTATCTTTAGTT